AATCGATATTTTTTTGAAAATAGCCTACTATGATCTAATTCCAAAAATGCTTTAAATTGCATTTTAAAACATATCTAGGTATTATAAATGATAAAGAACGTTAATATAGATATTAAATCGATATTTGTTTGAAAATAGCCTACTTTGATCAAAACCAAAAATGCTTTATATTGCATTTTAAAACATATCGAGGTATTATAAATGATAAAGAATGCTAATATAGATATAAAATCGATATTTGTTTGAAAATAGCCTACTTTGATCAAAACCAAAAATGCTTTATATTGCATTTTAAAACATATCTAGGTATTATAAATGATAAAAAATGCTAATATAGATATAAAATCGATATTTATTTGAAAATATCCAACTTTGATCAAAACCAAAAATGCATTATACTGCATTTTAAAACATATCTAGGTATTATAAATGATAAAGAATGCTAATATAGATATAAAATCGATATTTGTTTGAAAATAGCCTACTTTGATCAAAACCAAAAATGCTTTATATTGCACTTTAAAACATATCTAGGTATTATAAATGAAAAAGAATGCTAATATAGATATAAAATCGATATTTATTTGAAAATAGCCTACTTTGATCAAAACCAAAAATGCTTTATATTGCACTTTAAAACATATCTAGGTATTATAAATGAAAAAGAATGCTAATATATATAAAATCGATATTTATTTGAAAATAGCCTACTTTGATCAAAACCAAAAATGCTTTATATTGCACTTTAAAACATATCTAGATATTATAAATGAAAAAGAATGCTAATATAAATATAAAATCGATATTTTTTTTTGAAAAAAGCCTACTATGATCAAAACCAAAAATGCTTTATATTGCACTTTAAAACATATCTAGGTATTATAAATGAAAAAGAATGCTAATATAGATATAATATCGATTTTTTTTTGAAAATAGCCAACTTTGATCAAAACCAAAAATGCTTTATATTGTATTTAAAATATATCTAGGTATTATAAATGATAAAGAATGCTAATAAAGATATAAAATCGATATTTTTTTGAAAATAGCCTACTATGATCAAATTCCAAAAATGCTTTAAATTGCATTTTAAAACATATCTAGGTATTATAAATGATAAAGAACGTTAATATAGATATAAAATCGATATTTGTTTGAAAATAGCCTACTTTGATCAAAACCAAAAATGCTTTATATTGCATTTTAAAACATATCGAGGTATTATAAATGATAAAGAATGCTAATATAGATATAAAATCGATATTTGTTTGAAAATAGCCTACTTTGATCAAAACCAAAAATGCTTTATATTGCATTTTAAAACATATCGAGGTATTATAAATGATAAAGAATGCTAATATAGATATAAAATCGATATTTGTTTGAAAATAGCCTACTTTGATCAAAACCAAAAATGCTTTATATTGCATTTTAAAACATATCTAGGTATTATAAATGATAAAGAATGCTAATATAGATATAAAATCGATATTTGTTTGAAAATAGCCTACTTTGATCAAAACCAAAAATGCTTTATATTGCACTTTAAAACATATCTAGGTATTATAAATGAAAAAGAATGCTAATATAGATATAAAATCGATATTTATTTGAAAATAGCCTACTTTGATCAAAACCAAAAATGCTTTATATTGCACTTTAAAACATATCTAGGTATTATAAATGAAAAAGAATGCTAATATAGATATAAAATCGATATTTATTTGAAAATAGCCTACTTTGATCAAAACCAAAAATGCTTTATATTGCACTTTAAAACATATCTAGATATTATAAATGAAAAAGAATGCTAATATAAATATAAAATCGATATTTTTTTTTGAAAAAAGCCTACTATGATCAAAACCAAAAATGCTTTATATTGCATTTTAAAACATATCTAGATATTATAAATGATAAAGAATGCTAATATAGATATAAAATCGATATTTATTTGAAAATAGCCTACTTTGATCAAAACCAAAAATGCTTTATATTGCATTTTAAAACATATCTAGATATTATAAATGATAAAGAATGTTAATATAGATATAATATCGATATTTTTTGAAAATAGCTTACTATGATCAAATACCAAAAATGCTTTAAATTGCATTTAAAAACATATCTTGGTATTATAAATGATAAAGAAAGCTAATAAAGATAATAAAATCGATATTTTTTCGAAAATAGCCTTCTATGATCAAATTCCAAAAATGCTTTAAATTGCATTTTAAAACATATCTTGGTATTATAAATGATAAAGAAAGCTAATAAAGATAATAAAATCGATATTTTTTCGAAAATAGCCTACTTTGATCAAAACCAAAAATGCTTTATATTGCATTTTAAAACATATCTAGGTATTATAAATGATAAAGAATGCTAATATAGATATAAAATCGATATTTATTTGAAAATATCCAGCTTTGATCAAAACCAAAAATGCTTTAAATTGCATTTTAAAAATATCTAGGTATTATAAATGATAAAGAACGTTAATATAGATATAAAATCGATATTTGTTTGAAAATAGCCTACTTTGATCAAAACCAAAAATGCTTTATATTGCATTTTAAAACATATCGAGGTATTATAAATGATAAAGAATGCTAATATAGATATATAATCGATATTTATTTGAAAATAGCCTACTTTGATCAAAACCAAAAATGCTTTATATTGCATTTTAAAACATATCGAGGTATTATAAATGATAAAGAATGCTAATATAGATATAAAATCGATATTTATTTGAAAATATCCTACTTTGATCAAAACCAAAAATGCTTTATATTGCATTTTAAAACATATCTAGATATTATAAATGATAGAGAATGCTAATATAGATATAAAATCGATATTTATTTGAAAATAGCCTACTTTGATCAAAACCAAAAATGCTTTATATTGCATTTTAAAACATATCTAGATATTATAAATGATAAAGAATGTTAATATAGATATAAAATCGATATTTATTTGAAAATAGCCTACTTTGATCAAAACCAAAAATGCTTTATATTGCATTTTAAAACATATCTAGATATTATAAATGATAAAGAATGTTAATATAGATATAATATCGATATTTTTTGAAAATAGCTTACTATGATCAAATACCAAAAATGCTTTAAATTGCATTTTAAAACATATCTTGGTATTATAAATGATAAAGAAAGCTAATAAAGATAATAAAATCGATATTTTTTCGAAAATAGCCTTCTATGATCAAATTCCAAAAATGCTTTAAATTGCATTTTAAAACATATCTTGGTATTATAAATGATAAAGAAAGCTAATAAAGATAATAAAATCGATATTTTTTCGAAAATAGCCTTCTATGATCAAATTCCAAAAATGCTTTAAATTGTATTTTAAAACATATCTAGGTATTATAAATGATAACAAATGCTAATTTAGATATAAATTTGATATTTATTTGAAAATAGCCTACTTTGATCAAAAACCAAAAATGCTTTAAATTGTATTTTGAAACATATCTAGGTACTATAAATGATAACAAATGCTAATGTAGATATAAAACCGATATTTTTTTGAAAATAGTCTACTATAATCAAAAACCAAAAATGCTTTAAATTGCATTTTAAAACATATCTAGGTATTATAAATGATAAAGAATGCTAATAAAGATATAAAATCGATATTTTTTTGAAAATAGGGCTTTGAGATTTGACGTTCTCTTGCTTAAGAACATAGCTGAACTAAGAAATTATCCCTAAATTACGCCCCACGCTTTTAAAGTCATTGTGTTCTTGGACTTAATCACAATATTTTGAAAAAAATTTATGTTACATTTCTAGATGTCACAAGAAAACTTTTAAAATCCTGATTCGCTAAAAGTGTGATCTTATTTTATTTTCATCTTTTTGGTTTTTAGTCTGTTTGATAAAAGCGTGTTTTTTAAAAAGTTTTTTTAACAGTTTTTTATTTTCTACTTTTAGGTCTTATTATCTTGCAATCAACTGTTTATTGATTACAATAAGTTTGTAGGTTACAGGTGTGTTGAACTTCACTTCGTTCCATTTAACTGTTTATAAATTACTAGGGTTCGCCAAATTGACATGCGCATGCATGCACATGCAAAAACATGCGCATGTATTCGCATGCATGCGCACGTAACATGCGCATGTATATCTGAGAAAAAAATTGAAATTTCTAATTTTTTGCTGGATTCGTTTCAATATGTCTCAATAATGATTATTTGGACACTTTTGATCGATTTAATACCAAATCTTGTGAGTAGAAGATCAACTTAGAGGTGTTCTGATGTAAGAACCTGTCCTCTTAAGCAGTTTTGAAGCGAATTTCAACATTTTCATCATATTTTTTATGAAATTTTTGATAAATATGATAAAAGGAATAAAATTAAATGAAAAAATTATTTTTGTAAAATTTGTTTTAAAAAATTTATATGCAGTACATGTATGCGCATGGATGCGCATGTGGGCGAACCCTACTTTGGAAATATTGAATGAAAAAAAAAAAATTATATCAACAAAAATGAAAGATTTAAATGCAGAATATCAAAAGCCAGATGTCTAATTAAATATTATCTGTAAAATTATGCAAACGATAGTCATTAATTATGCAAATCTGCACGAACTTGCCAATGTTCAATTTAATTAAAAAAGATTAGGTTTTTTTTTAAAGATTTTTATTGAAAATTTTTCGTTTCTTATTTATAAGATACACAATTTTCTTCTTAAAATTAAGAATGTACTTAATTACAGTTTACGAATATCATTAATTAAGATGATTACTTCCAATTATCAAATTATTTGAAAGAAAAAAAAATAAGTACAAAATTATTATTTAAAAAAAAAGTTTAAATGCTTATGTTTTTTTGTGCTAACGAGAAGGCCATAATGGCGCGGCAATACAATCGAGATAAAGGAGGATTCATTTTATTCCGATTTTATTACAATTAAGTCAAATGATAATGGGGTAAATACAAGCGAGCGACTACTCCTTTTACCAATATAATTATCTTGGTAGAATTGAGTCTGTTTTAATTTATAACTGATACTTGCAATTAGCATCCTCAATTAGCACAGAATTACAGTTGTCTCACAATTAGTTTTGCTTCTTCATCTTATTATTTATAATAAAAAAATTATGTTGAAAATGATTTGAAATTAATGAGAAAAAAAAATTAATGAAAGAATTTTGCATTTCTCATTATTAATCTTGTAATCCTACACAGTCGTTTACTTCTTTAATGAACGATTGGCAACATCACCAGTATTTCTTGGATGATAGACAATATCAGGCTTCTCACCCAATACCTTACTTCGTGCATAACTTGAGTCTATTTGCAATGGCTTTTCATCCTCATGTCGAAGATTCTTTATTAAATCGGATAATGATAGGAATGATTGGCGGTTTTCGTCATCGGTATTCAATTGTTGAAGTCTACCTAAATCGTCAGTCAATTCACGCAGTCTTTGCTCAACGGGAATGTCTTCGTTTTCTTCAACACTTCCGCTATGGCGAACATCCAGTAAACTTTCTGACGATTCTGTATGGACGTGTGTCTCTTCCGCGCTTACTGTTTGGTGTTCTTCTTCCTCCTCATGTACATCCTCTTCGCCACCATCATGTGATGCAGTTGTCGATGCCTCATCATGTTCTGTATGCTCATCGCTATCATCAATAATAATATGATGATCGTCGTCAATTTGCTCATCTGAATGTGGTGCACTTGTTGCTGATCCCATCAATGATACATAAAGTGCTGTTGTTTCTTTGTATGACGATGGAAGTGGTGATACCGTTGATGTTGTAACAAATGATGATGATGGTGTTGTTCTAGTCGTTGACACTGTTGATACGATATTAGCGGATATTTTTCGCCTAAAGAGATAACAAACATTAATGGAACGACATTTATTTATTATCTATCATGGTAGGGTATTATTATTTATTGAAGGAATTATTTCTAATAGCAAAAAGAAATGAGAATGCATACACATCAAGGAAGAAATTAAAAAAAAAATGTATAAATTTATTATAATAGTACTCTCTAATACTATAACCATTTAGAAGGAGATGGAGAAAATGATAACAGATTATTACAGTAACAGCAACAAAACAAAATGTATGAATTGATCTAAATGAACTAACTTGTCCACAACCACCAATAAAATTCCGTTAATTTATTTCATTTTTTCTTATTATTATTTTTTTCTAGAATTCTCTATTTTTTTGTTTAAAAGAAAAAAATTATGAATACAAACAGAGGAGAGGTATGGGAGTTAGTGTGATAGAATTAATATGGTTTTAATATAATTATTTAAAAGAACTGTACTCGTTCTTTTACATAAATTAAAAGCTATTAATCAATAACAGACTTACTAATATGAATTTATGGATTTGTGTCGGAGAGGTTTAACATAATTATTACTTAGAACTTTCTAGCAGGGTGATTCTCTAAATGAATATTAAATAGATGGAACTGTATTTTGTCCTGGATGTTTTTGAAAGTTAGAAATTTGCATTTTCTGCGACAACTTAGAATTAACAGGCTTGTTTTGCCTTTCTCTATGATTAATAGTCTTTAGAATAATCAATGCAAATTAACATTGATTTAAATAAAGCTTTCAGTATCAATAGGGCAATAAAACTGAATATTTTTAATGTTATGAGCAAATTTAATTTGTAACTGCTTAAAACTTGCAATGAAAATGGACTTAAATCTCTCTTTAAATGTAATTTTTTAAAACTCGTGAAATTTGTTTTGAACATTTTTACAGATTTTCTGAAGAATCCCCCATTAAAAGGAATTAATATTACTATCATCGACACAATGATAGATGAATGGAAGCACAGAGTGTGAAACAATGTATGCATATGTGTGTGTTAATTATGTTAATCGAATTAGTAATTTAAGGTTGATATTAAAATTTTATAGCTATATACACATTCTCCTTTTTGCAATCAAAAAGTAATATAAAATATAAAATTTATGGTGGAAATGGAATAAGTTAGCTCACCTAATTCATCAATTCTAATTCTTTTTCATAGTCTTTCATTATTTTTTTCATTCATAAATTTTCATCGTGTTTAAAAAAAAATTAAATTTCAATATCTTTTGATCAAGATATAAATTATGGAATTATGCGAACTTCTCTTGTTATTCTTTAAATACAATTAATAAATTTGTGGATTTTGTTTTTGTAAAAATTTGTTTCTTATTTAAAATAAAGATTTTTTTTTGTTTTTATCGTTCGTGTGTTTGCTTCTTGATCTTTTTTTAAGCTTTTCTTAATTAAATTTACCCCTGTGATGAGCTGACGGGTATACTTCCGTAGTTATAATAGTAGCATCGCGTTTGTTCACATATGAAATCTTTAACTTGTAAGCAATCATCAGCTTCCCACTTGAGAGACGGTGCTTTAAGTAACACGCAATGCTTATCCAATGGTCTACATGGGAATAAAAGAATAAATATAAAATTAATGAGATACGAAAAAAACACAAAAAGAACCGTAAGGAATTTTTATTTGCATTTTTTGCGATTTTTTTTTATCAAGGAGGTCCACGGTTTGAGTTAATTTAAATTTGAATTAACTCAGTTTTATTATAAAATCTTAAATTGTTCCTACAACTGAAGTTATTGCTTAATTTCTTTTTTTTTTAAAACTCATTTATTTAAACAGTGGACCCCTACTATTTGTCATGTCTTAATTTACCTTCTTGTATCGTCTCGTGCTGTTCTCTGTGGTGCTGTGTTACCATTATGATCATTCGAATCAGCATGTAAATCATGATCGAAGTAATCAAATGTTGAGTTAAAAGGTAAGCCTGTACTCATCCACAAAAACATTCCAGTTCCTAAACGATTACCAGAGGTCCAGTAATCAAAATCACCAAACTTAGCATTCTTAAGATATTCAACCATTCCAGTATATTTCTCTCTGGAATCGAATGATGCAAGCTGAAGACCAAGTGATCGGCAGTATTGATAGGCGAGATAGTAATTCAACTCAGGTGAATACGGATTCATACGTGAGATATAATACTGGACACCGTCCAATTGAATCGTCATTATTCGCTGACCTAGAAAGATTATGCAATAAAATGAAAGAATTAATCGTAAAATAAGTTTCTCCAGGTGTCTCATTAATGTAAAATTAGCATGCAGGAAGGCATGACATCATTGAAGCATTTGATAATCTTTTCTCATTTTTATGAATATGGGTACGTTTTGCCTCGTGAAATGGAAATTGAAACTCATTAAAAATTCACGACACAAAATGTATGATAAAAAATCATATAGTTCCCCTCCTCTTTCGTCTCTTTCTCTCGTTCCAAAATGTTAAATCTTAATTTATTTCCCTTTATATCAAATCTGACGAAATATTTGTGCATGTCTCATTTTTAATAAGAATATTATGAATTCCTTAAAATGTCAACAGCAATTTTGTATTAACGTTTCCTCTCTTAATCTTTCACAATGAAATGTGGTAAGAAGAAATATTGTCGTACGATTGAATTATGCAAAAGTATGGTTAGAATATTTTATTTGTCTTTGAATAAATTCAATGATTTAGTGCTGAAATTTCTTCTATTAGCTGTTCTGTTTGCTTGGAGCTAATCTTCATAGATTCTCTTGTCAAACAGATAATTTGGGTTTGGAGTGGATTGATACTACTTAGTATTACATAGTAATTGATGCTTTAGAGCTATTCGATAAGATTTAACTTCAATCCTCAATTCCAAGAAAACTATTAAAAAAATAATAATTTGACTCATCATTGCAATCATTTACCTTCAAATTAATTAAATTCATCAGACAATCGACAACAGAATACGAAGCAAATCTTTCTAGACAAAGTGATTAGCCATTCAGGTGAGCTTACAGCAAAGAATTTTTAGCAAATAAAAGTGAATTTCATACAGCGACACCCATAATAATTTTTTTATATACAGCATAAACATACACGAGCATTATGAATCAAATTCATTGAGTGTCTTGCTAAAATAATCATTAATGCACGTACAAAAAGAGAATTTCTTCTTATTTATTCTGTTCTTTCCATGATCGAAGAAGAAATAATTGAAAAAAAAGAGGAGAAAGAACCTCACGACAATCATGAATCAATTTAAAAATACCTTTGTTCTCGGGACTGACTCTATACATCCAAAGATATTCTAAGTGCCTCGTTTTGTTCAATTTTCATATTCTATGTACTCTTTTAAATAGTGCCCATGACGAATGAGAAGTAATTCTATTCTCAAACATAATTTAATTCTATTCTTGTTCATTGCTAGACTTAAAAATTTATTCTTAAGCTCATCTCTCACGAAAAAATAAAATAATAGAAATAATGGAGCTGGAAGAAGCTTCATACACAATGCGGCGCTCACACAAATCCTCTGATTCTAATTGACTTTCAATTGCTGGAAGCAACAAAAAGTAAAGAATAGAATTGTTGCGCTGCTCATAATGAATTGGCTGTGGGAATTTGAACATCCGATACGTAAAGAATCGATCGTCTTTATTTTATATTTTTGCATCAGATAAGGTTTTTAAGTGGGAGATGAGAATGTACAGGAGATGAATTAAAATTATTATAAAAACGACAATTGAAATGTGTGTGCGCAAAATGAGTAAAAGAGTGTCTGATTAGCCTGAAGCCTTTGAAGTCAATAATAAAAAATGAGCTTTAGAACATTGAAGGCATTCAAAATGAAGCTTCTTCATTCCCCCGCTATTTCTTAATGACGAGCCAAAGTGTCTTGATTTAATGATAACTTTAAATAGCACCATCGCAGACAGATGATAAATCGAATGGCAATTGCTGTGCGCGCAAATTTTTTTTTCTTCTACACCGCGTGTACGTTTATTGACTATCGAGTAGAATGCTTAAAACAATAAAGGAAACTAAACATTTCCTGTCAATTTTCATACGTATAAAACATATTTACAGTCTCTTTGCCATTCTTCAGTTTTTTGCTTCTTATTCCCGTCCGTACATTTACATTAATTTGAGTTAAAAACCGTTGCGTTTTGGTGACACGATAATGAAATAAGGCAAGGAGGTTCCATGGTTTCAATGTTTTGAATTCAAATAAAATGTTGATAATTTAACATTGATAAAGCACATAATAGTTAACTAGAAAATATCGAGGATCGGTAACTCGATATTTCAAGAACAAAATAAATATTGAAATATTAGACCCCCACCTCTTTATAAATTGTCGTTTATGCATTAACTTGCAAAAAGAGATGAACAATGGTGTTCTGAATGTAATAGCATAACAGCATCGATAGAAAGGTAAAAGAACTGTTTAATAGCTAATTGAATAGAGTCGATAGCATTTCATTCATTTACCTATTCCATAAATCTTCTATTGAACATAATTCTTATTTTTTTTTGTGCGGGAGAGTCATCATTCTTATTATATTTTTACAAGAATGCTCGAGTATGAAAAAAACAGAAATCACAACATAAAATAGAGTGTGCTGAACATAATAAAATTTATGGCCATTCAATTCCTCCTCTGGATATCTCTTTCTCAGTCTTGTACTCTTCAACATCCATCTAATGGATGATACAATGGCAACAAAAGCATGAAAAGAATCTCTTTAATGCGGTAGATAAAGTATAACTATAAAAAGAATACAGAAGATGAAGCATATATGATGATTTAAGAGTCAATAATTTTCTCGAGATCGAATTTGTGAAGTTTGTAGATTAGCTTGATGGAACTGACGTGCAGTTCTTGGAAGAGACGTGCATTTCAACTAGCTCTTTTGGATTAGGATTTGAACGTTTAATCTTGAGATCATACTTGAAAAGTCATTATTGCTAATTGATGGTGAATTGAATCTTGGCCAAGGTTTTGATTACAGGAATTGAAATTCGAACTCGTCTTAGAATTCTTTAAAAAACTCAGAATTTATATGTAAATTAAGTAATGATAATGGTTCTGATAGATCCACCACAGTACCTGTTTGGATTAGAACTCACGTCTCTAAAGTAATCATGGGCGCATGCAGCATGCTGTTCGTTTTTCCTGAATCTGTGCCGCAGAACACAGTTTTAACAACAATGCTTTAGAATAAAGCAATGACAACGCAAATTAGCAGTTTAAGAACTCATCCTCAGATCTCATTCAGCTTCTTTACTGAATATTTTCAGACTAACAGAGAATCCAAACAGATAGATTCAGACAACATAGATTGTAGATTACAGTAAAAGCAACAGAATTGAACAAAATATCAAGCTGTTGATCTCGAATTTATACAATTCAGAAGATGTACAATAAATCATGACAATGTTGAATCCGAATGTTCAATTAAAGCAATATTTGCAGACATTTTTTGTCATATCATTCCATCCTTATAAGTCAGTGAATTCATAGATTATTTGCTCGGCAAGAATAAATCTCAAGCCTTTTTTTTTCAACAAACAAAGCGATCTTCTATCAGATATAGATATTCACGTTCTCAAGACTAAAAGATAAATAAAACAAAGAAAGCAACGAGAGAGATTTTCGATAGTGAGCAAACTTCGTGCTCTAAAAGTGCCATGAAACAGCAGAAAAAATAGAATAAAATTTACAATTTCAATGAACTGTCAAGTAGAATATACACAAAATCAAGTTGATATTATTGGCGCCATTAGTAAGCAACAAATCATATTATAAATATCGTGAAGATGATATAATCTCCACGTTTTATCTCACGATCATCATAATTCATCTTTTATTGCCGACGCATTAAAAAACATCATAATACAGCATACGAAATATTCTGATGATCTTTTTTTTTCTTTCACAAATAAACCAGCGAATGTTCTGTTAATAGTATTCGCTTTCCTGCCATTCCCGCATAATTTCGAGAAATGCGAAGAGAGAAGGAAAAAGTTTTTTTTATCGACACAAAAAAAGTCAGAAAAATATTATTCACATTTATAATGTGAATGACCTAAGGGATCGTTCAAAAATGACGACTAGCGAATAATTAAACATATCGAGGATATTTGCTTGACGAACAATACTCCATGGTTACCATTCCATTCCCATTAAGGACACCTACTTAAGTGTACCGTTGCTGAAAAAAGCTTATACAACACTGGGAACTAGTGTGTCAGCAAAACCTTCGGATGTGATGCAAAAAGCATAGTGAGCTTGAAAAACACTGCTTTTCACGTTTGACTAGGCATAGCACTAGCTCTTATCATTAAAGTGTCTCAGCAAACCATCGAATCAAACTTCATAGCCTCTGTGGCCGATTAGTTAACTTAAAGAACAGAAATCTGTTGCTCTAATTTTGTGTAAGGACGTGGGTTCTACTCCTACCTGAATTTTATTATTATATCACATTATGCTTACGGCAAATAGCTCTTCTTAAGCTGAAACTTTTAAAAGGTTCTAGATCCCCAGCTATCAGACACTTTAAACAAAAAGAGCAGCTTTTAGACCCAAATTTCGTAACAAAAAAGAGTCTAATTTTATGATAGACGTCACTTATAAATAACCCGCAATAGTTATTTTGTTGTGTTACAAAAAAATTTAAAAATTAACATCAGACGATTTCATTAAAAATGATTATGAGAAATTCTCGGGCATATCTGCTGTAAATCAGCTAATATGAAAAGGGAATGGAGATGAAGACGAAATGTTATGGGATGTATGTTGAAAGAATTAAATAGAGATATAGACATAGAATAAAGGATAAAAAATAAGAAAAGATAAATTGCGTAAGATGTTTGTTTTGCTATTTATAGCCAATTACACATTTTGCGATCACTTTGCCCCGTTTCTTTTATTCTTATGTCCGTATTACTTATTTTAATGCCGTCAAAGATTACCTGCCATAGTCTTATTATTATTACATGCTATAGAAGAGCAAAAATAAAATCGAGAGGAGAAAAGCTACATACAATGCGATACATTTAATTGCATCATCGCGCGAGAGAGATGCATCGGAAGCAGCATGAGCAAATAACGAGTTCAGCATATAAGAGGAGAAGAAATGCGAAAATAACGAATGGAAATCACTATGTAATGAAGTGATAGACATCGAGAGGCCTAGCTTTTGCCTACTACCTCAATGTATATGCACATGTATACATATAATATTTACAAAACCGTTAACGGATCGTCAATTGATATCAATGGACTTGCCATTCTTGCAATATTTCTTGTTCTAAATTCAATTACAACTACAAATCGTCTTCATTGTGCGATCATTTCATTGGCAATGGCACTTGTATGTCACAAACAAAAAAAAAATATAAACATTTATTGACACTATCCCTCTACTAAGTTGCTCTTTTCTCTCTTAGAATGGTATGTTAAGTGCCATGCAAAGTGATACACGACTGTGTCGTGTGTTTGTGCATTTTAAAAGTAATACATGACTGTATGTTTATATATCTCTCTGCACCGACCGGAATGTTAATAATATTTTAATTAACAACTATTCAAATGCCATTCAGAATTTTTAATTCTACAAGTAAGCTCATTTTTTTCCGTTAAGAAGGAGCTTGATTTCCGGTTGATGTGAGTCATAAAAAATAAATTCTTTATGCTTTCTTAATATTTATTTTGCTGCTAAAAGCGGCCTTTCAGACTCAATTTCCTTCGTTTATGGGATCGAAAAATAAAGACGTGTATTTATGTAAAGGATATTTTTTATCATCATCATCTGGGTATTATTTGCTTTCTTTCCTTTTCCTCTCTCATCTTCATGTGAGAATTCATAGATTCCCTAATAATATACTTAAATAATCTTTATATATTTATATGCATGAGATGTTCTCTTATTTCGTCAAATTTTTTGTGTATACATTAACCAAGATTTTGTTTTTTCGAGACAATTCTGGATGTGAAAAATCGGTAATGTCCAGGATTTGTCGGTCCGTCTATTTTTAATCAAATATTCACTTCAAAGAAACCAGCTAGCAACCTATTTTGCATCAATATAACCTCAATAATTTAATTTAAATATTATTATGCGCTTCCTAATCATGCGAGCTTCAATACTGATGCCTTTTATTTTCTTAAGCCTATAAAAAGGAACCTTCCCGTTCCTCTCTTAATTTTACGACCATCGAAATTTTTTTGACTTTACGAGACTTAACTTTTTATTGGTAGGGTGGGATATATTGTAATGGTAATTTGATATCGTTTCTTACCTGTTGCAGCAACACATAATACACTGAGCGAGAATAATAATTTGATCATTTTTGGATGCTTATCTTTATGATTTCCTTTAACTAAATCCTTATTGTTATCTTTTATTCAATTCTTATTCTTTCTTTTTTGCTTAATTTATTATTTTTTTCGTGTCTCACTCTTTCTCTTCCTTCCTTTTATATTGTGTGACTTTACACGAGCTCAATATGCACTCAACTGAAAGCACTTGATTGACTTTTTTTATTATTCTTTTATTACTTTGCTTTCTTTTTGAATTTTACTTAAAAATGCTTCTTGATTTAAAGTGAAATAAAGAACAAAATTCAAGAACAAAAAAATTAAGAAAAATGGAAACAAGAGGAACGAGTTCTCGATATATATCAATGAAAATCGAAGTGAATGGAATTAAACAGAACTAAAAAAATACTGATTAACTTTATTTAATATTTTTTTACTTAAAATAACTTTCTTTCCGAGACAAGCTCCTCTATACTAGTCACCGAAATCAAAGTCAAGTTCAAATGCTTGGGCAATTTCACGATACCTTCATTTTATATCAAATACCCCCACCACTATTACATACATACATCTCTCTTCTTCAGTTCTTACATCCATCGGGGTTTCGGGATGGGAAAAAGAAAGAAATGAATAATAATAAAATACGATATAAAGAATCGTTCTTGTGGCTGTTTTTAGCATTTTTTCCGTCAAAATGGGAAGTGATTTTTTGATGTTTGTCCACTTGTTGGGCTTTTCTTGCAAGTATTGTATGTAGAGGGGGTGAATTTTGCTTAATCATTGTTAAATTCGATGTGAGTAGTCAATTGTTTTGTAATATCTGTGACTTTACATTATGCTAGTTTGAATTGTTGTAATTACTGAGTTACTATCTTAAACAGGCATATCTACCTACTCGCAAAAATCACGTTGGTCTATGTTTGAATGTTTGATGTACCTAAAATCACTGTTTTTTTTAAATTCGCCGTTATTTCCTTAATTGAATTATAATCATTTGAGAGATTATAACTTGGCATGATCCATGACTCTAGCATATATGCAGTTCAAAAATTATTCATGGATCAGCACATTAAAAATTCCAGACTAGCCTCTAATAATCAACTAGTTAAGAACCTAAAATTAACAAGATCAAGACTTTTATATTGAACAGTCCAGCAAGAGCAACTTGCCACCAACAGCAAACGATTCATAGAAGAACATCGCCCACAAGACATTTTCCCCTCCACAATCTAATCAGTTGAGACAAGCAAACGATGCGTTGCAGCAACTTGTTTGCATAGGAATTTTTCAACCTGTTTCTCTGTTCGGCTGTGTATTATTTTCAATATATGTACTCTCACAGGTTGGATCACATAGTCATATAAATTAAATGCTAAAAAAATATATGTTAAAGAAACAATGAAATGAAAGAAGTAACGAAAGAGGAGAGAAGAAGAACGAAGAAAAGAACATAAACTCCAGAGAAACAAAAAATAAAAGTCAAGAAAATATACATTTAGAAAGGAAGAAGATAGGGATAGATGGAAGGAGAGGAGATCGAGAGAGAGAAAGAGAGACGGAGAGGAAGAACCGTGGAGTAAGTGAATAAGAATTAATAAAAATTTCATGTATGGGGAATTTCAAGAAATAATGCTTAGAATCATGTCTTGTAGATTCTTATTATTACTATTGTCTCTGTAATTCTTATTATTATTTTCTTCAAATTCTAATTGCATGTGGCATGAATACATTCTACATACATATAAGCATTATTTGTGTCTTATGTCATGTGGGAGAGCATTTGAAGGCTCCGTCTAATAGCAGCGTTCTTAATGATTTTAAGAATTTATTCTCTCAAATTATCACGACTTGCAGATTTATTTTTAGCTGCCGTTGTTATTGCCATTGAGCCTATAACATTCTGCATTCATTACATATTTTGATTATCACATAAAGAAGCTTAACAATCTATTTACTACTTAACAATAATCTCAATCCTACCTTCAAATGCAGTTGCATAATGTAACTCAGTGATGTTAAATCAGGCGTTTAGGGAAGACGTAGATCATGTACGTCTCTTAAGATTGTGTCTCATCTAGACAAGATCTAGTCAAGCGCTTGTTTGGCTAAGTAAACAATTTTTGATTTAAGGAACTGAACACTGTTTATGCTTTGATTTCTAGAAGACTAGGTTTTGAACTAGGCTAGCTATATATTCTTACAAGTGGTCATAGACTGTGTTCATTAGTATCTTACTTATTTTGACATGTCTGGGTATTTATATATAAGAAGTATTTAAACATGTCTAGTTATCTGTAGGGAGGCATTAAAAAGGATCTTGGGATCTTGACGTATTTCATACCCTAAGTCCAATAAAGAGCTAGAATTGTGGTTGAGGTTAGACAAGCTTGGGTCAGATTTAGTGTGAGCCAAGCAAATATCCAGATATCAACACTGATGCAACGTTAAGTTTAGACAGCGACTTGAGCAAAAATAAGCAACATAGAATAGAATATAGAATATATGTAGTATGCAGCAGGGAGACACACGATGAAGATGAAGATGAGAAGAGCAAAAAAAAACAAAGGAATGAAAAGAAAGAATAAGAAATGAGAAGAAAAGATGGAGAAGAAGGTAAAATTTAAATTGCACTTATGCTTAAATGTCTCATTTAATTTTCATGCAATAAATAAAATGCTTTTGTGTCGATCGTTGTTGGGCATTAAAAAATGTTTTAAATAACATAGAAGAGAGAAAAGATGGCAAATCAATTGCAGCAGTGCCTTTGCGTGTGCATACCTACATACATAGTTTCTTATTTTTTATTATATTACGAAGAAAATGCTGCTCAACTGATAACAACAGTAGAACAAAACAGCACAAAAATGAGCATAGAAATGTGTTCATGCTCGTGATGACTCATGTTTTAGTTAAGCATTATGTTGTGCGCCATACGATAGAACGACGAATAATCTGCATGAAATCTGCTTTTAGTCAACATCCATGGGAAGCTTTTATTCTCCTTTTAACTATAGTGGAAGAGAAATATTCTATAAAAAAAAAATAAAGCAGATTGATTGCTATATAAAAAATAGAATTTACCATGGAAGATATATATACAGAATATAAAAATACGACTGAAGAAGAGTCGAAGGTTAAGAGTGTCGAGAATCTTATTTAGTTTCGTTATGTTCTTTACTCTTTATTTTAAATAAGCATTTTTTATGGAATTTCAAATTCGATCATCATCAAGACAAACATTTAGTCTGTCTAGGAACGCAATATAAAAATTCTAACAATCGCTCGAGGTGATTTCACCTGAATTCTGTGCTGGAGTCCGAAACCACACCTATGAGAGAGAATTATGAGAATATTTCTATATCGACTGTTTATAAACTAAGCAGCATATCCGTTAGAGATCAAGTGTCGAAAGTCAAGAATCATCAGCACACGACCGAGTCACTTCGTTTGATTTTTTTTATAGGAGCTTATTAGATGCCTCTGCATGGGAAGTTAAATTTGAATTTTATTGCATCGATGCTCTGTTAATCAGGCATGAGATTTACGTAAGGGAATCTTGGGATTGATTTTTGAGGAAATAAAGAATCTAGAATCTAGAATCAAAAGCTAGAATCTGATTGAATTTACAAATGGGTAATGGTTTCGAAACTTTTTAGATCAATTTATAATTTTTTGCAACATATGTACTGAAAATGAAGCTTAAAAGCTTCCTTTATAGGCCATAGACAAGAATACCGTTAAAAGTTTTGAACAGATCCTACTTAAAACTAGTAGATTAATTTTGGATGCTGTGAATCTGGATACTCCTATTTGTAGAGACACTCTTTGTATGTACCATTAAAAATTAATCAAAAAATTCAAACCTTTATCAGAAGAAGTTTCTCATGACTAAAGAATTACAAATCTACCACTTTCGTGACATAAAAGCAAGCATGTGAACACATGTTCAGGCTTATCTAAATTAATAGAATAAAAAAATATCATTTCCTGCAAAAAAAATCTAATAAAAATATTAAAATTTATGAATATCAATAAACTGTACATGCACACTGAATCTGCTCTATATATTTCCTCTTCAAATGATATTTTTTTTTTCATTAAAGCTTCTCAGTGCATTAAGAGTCTCAGCATCTTCGCAAAATTTATAACGACACTTCATTGCTCTCTTACATCAATGTTAAATTAGAGCAAATTGCTGATAATAAAAGAAATATCCTTGGTTCAATTATCTTCTCCGTCTCTGTAGCATAACATTTTTAATACGTAATTAAATTTTATTGTCAATCATACATCTATTATATGATATGACTGTAATTTATTAAATTCATTGAGCTATTTGCTGTAATTACGTTGATTGTCGATCAAAATAATTGCTTATTTACTACATACATTCATAACTACATGATGATTCTAATCGCGATTCTTAGCCAAAAAATGGCCTACGGACTAAAATGCGCTATAATTAATATGAAAAATTAAATAAAATTCGTACCATTCGCACAATGTACATTTCAATTTCTCAGATCTTCACCTTAAAGAAGAAAGAAAAAATTGTTTCATAAGCATTTTCAATATCAAGATCAAGGCCCCTTTTTTCTGCTTGACCATTGTGTGTGAGAATGAAGAACGAAAAAAAACCAGTTTAGATGTGATTACTTATGAGTGACTAAAGCGCATTTTATACGCATAGATTCAAAGCATTTAATTGAATTTAATAATTGACTCATCCGCTATAAGATGACCAACGCTGTTTATAATACACCTCAGTGCTTCTCAAATTAATCTTTAGGATGCGCAATTTCGACGGGAAAATCTTAGGTGTGTCAGTAAAAGCAGCTCGGTGTCATGGCTAGCTCATAGCAGACCAACTGTTCAGAACATTAGTTCATCCATAGCTGCGCTCGTTTATAAAACTTATGACCTCAAAACACCGGCTTATCCACTATTTTTTTATTGAAATACTGGGGGACCTCGATTTGAGTAGGTGTTTTGTTCCAAAAAATCCTATTCAAATCGAATCTACTGAAATCGACGACCCATAGTACTGTATTTAGCCTGTCAATGAAGGCTGAAAGCTTAATTTTTAAAACATATGATTCGAAAAACCTATAAGCTTAATAAATTTCCATGACTGGTTCATATCAAATTTATTGTCGTTGTGACGAGGATGCAATAATTAGATACCAAATGTCACAGAGCCCCTTGAGCTCTCAAAATGTGGACTAAAATTTAAATTTTAAGTAATATGAAGTTTGTTATGTGTGACGTTTTGCAAGTCACTAAAACTAGCTAAGCAAATAAATCAGCAATCATGTGTTGCTAAGCGACAAATAGACAAAATGTTAACAACTATGTTTTGCATTAAAAAAACTACACAAACAAAAGTTGAATTGTGCGGTTGTTGATTCATTTAAAGAACCAGAGACTCGACATGCTTGAATATAATTTTTGTTGAAAAGAATTCGTTACGAAACAATGAAATTGAAAATTCTTCATAAATTTC